CGCCGGGGTTTGTGGCCGGGAATGGAAGTGCAGCTGCTCCCTGCACTGCAGCTCATTGTCCTGCTGGTCCCATAAAGTTCACCTGGAGAGGAAAAAAAACGATTAAAGTCTTATTTTTCAGAGGAGAAAAATACCAAAAAATCAGGCTGAGAGGAAATGACTCCGTTGGAGTGAAAATCTTGTGGGTGTGGAGGATAAACTGTCTGGATTTAGTGCAAGGGAAGCGGCTTCATAAATAAGTTTTTTAGTGTGTAAATGATAAAATGTGTTGTAAGTGATCGTGTGATGCGTTGGAAGGTAGAAATAGTTTTAATGCCTGGGAGAATGGAGCATTCAGGGAGGAGGAAAAGATAAAAGCACTGGGGGGGGGCATGGTGGAGGGGGACATGGAAAATGAGGAAAATGGTCCTAAAAAGGGAATTCCAGAGGAATTACACGTGATGGCACAAGCTACAGTAATTAACAACATTGTTTTAATTTGTTGCACTAATTACTCGCCGGGATGCTGAAGTTATAGGGCTGCTATTGAAATATCATGTTACTTGATTCCTTTAAGGGGATAATTACTTATATGTGTGCTTGTGTATGACCACACACACAAAAAAAAAAAAAGATTGAAAGCAGCAAAGTGGTGCTTCAAACCTTTTTGTCCTGCAGCACTAAGTTGATACAGGGCCTAATTTAATGTAATGGCTAAATGTGTGATGATAAAGCTAAATTACACAGCATTGCTACGTGAAAAAAAAATGCAGTGACTCAGCCTTTCCCAAAATCACGAGGGGAAATGAAAATGAGCTTGAAACGATCGATAAATCGGATTATTTGATTTCCCTCCTGGGTTTTGGGTCTCTGGAACAGCTACACTTCCCACTGTCGGGCAACACAGGGAGCGAGGGACTCCCTGCCTCTGAGATTTTATTTTATAACTGAGATTTGTCACACTCTTCCTTGGTTCCAGCAGCTGAGGCTTTTGGGGGGATTGCCAAGGAGTGCTGCAGCATAATTACATGAGAGCTGGCAGCAGGGGCTGGAACATCCCTGGAACCAGCCCAAAGCTGCAGGGCCACATCCCAGTCCCCCTGAGTGGGAGATTCTCGGGCAGAATAGACCCCATTGTTGGAGAGATTAAAAAATTTACAAAATTACAGCCGGCGAGCTCCAAACACCCCTCCTGTTTATACAACAGAACTCGGCCAGACCCACAATATTCCAGGCAGGAAAAATTGCTACATCCACAATAGGAGCTCTGTTTGTGCTGGGAATGGGGAAGGAATCGGGGCATTTTTATTAAAAGTGGGGCCGACTGACCCCGGAGGGAGTTGGAATTGTACATTTAAGGAAGTTTTACTTCGCTGGAAGCTGGTTTTTGAATTGGGCTGAGGGATGTTTCCAGCTCGCTGAAGCAGCTGAAACGTTCACAAAGGGCTCGGGGAGCAAATGGAGCTGCTGCTGAAATGAGTGTTTCTTTAGGATTTTAGGAGAGAAAAATCGATTTAACACCTTTAAGAACGATTGAGAAACCGCTCGTGGATAAAGTTACATGAAAAAAACGTTTATCTTCTGAAAGCAAAGGAAAAGTGAGGGATTTTATACACAGAACGGTGGACTCAGGATAATTTAAATTCCTTGAGTACAACACACAAAGCAGCTCATGTTTATAACAAGGCACCACTAAACTTGGCTAAATCTGGTGCATATTTCTCATCCGTGCTTTTAGAAATAAAGTTGCAATCCTGTGATACTTTCTTTTCATCCCCCACTCTCCTTTCTGTGCTGTGGGGATTTATGGGATCTTTCAAGTGTTTTTTTTAAAAAAAAAAAAACTCTTACCTTGGGTCTGTGTTATGTGGAAGGAAAAAATACTTTGCCGCCAGCAAGGTTTTTTGGAAGTGTTTGTCCACTTCCAGCCTGTGTCTGTTCAATCTGATGGAAGTTAAACTGATTATCACTGTTTTAATGTAGAGCAGAGCCAGATAAAATTAAAGTAAATCAAAATGAGTGCAAACAGCCGGTTTTAAAGCCTTTCCTGAAAGCTCCCACTCGCTTCCTCTCCTTGGTTTTTTTTTTATTTCTTAGGGAGTTCAGCCAGAGCAGGGCAATGGGCTGTGCATCTCCATCTGCTGCTGGGACACCGGTGTTTGGAGAACTGCTTAATCCACACTGGAAATGGAGAGGTAAATGTTAAATATTTAACAAGCTCAACTCATAACATTAGCTAAGAAGGGTCATCCCATTTGCTGCTATAAACTAATTTGTTTACAGGGCAGAAAGCATCAACTTCCACCCCTGCTCCCCTTAAGCAGTCGCTAAACTCCTGCTAATGGATGCACTTTAGTGCTGATATTTCTCGGAGCCCTGTGTTGGCATTTGGCAAACATTTATTGCAGAAAGGGGTGTTTACTTTGGAGATTGCTTTGGGATGTTTCTGCTTCCCTTGCTCATCACTGTGAGCATGAACTCAGTCGCCTCCAATATTAGTTTTGATTTGTTTTTCCGCGGTTTTCTCTTTGCCGTGTAAAAATAGTATAGAATGAAATAGAGTGGAATAAAATAAAATAAAACAGAATAAAATAAAATAGAATAAAATAAAATAGAATAAAATAAAATAGAGTGGAATAAAATAAAATAAAATAGAATAAAATAAAATAGAATAAAATAAAATAGAATAAAATAAAATAGAATAAAATAAAATAAAATAGAATAAAATAAAATAGAATAGAATAAAATAAAATAAAATAAAATAAAATAAAATAAAATAAAATAAAATAAAATAAAATAAAATAATGACTTTAAAAGTGCAAGTTTAAGTGAGGGATGACAGACCTCAGAGCACCCGAGCGCACCCATGGAATTACCTCAGTACTTGTTACCCCCCAAGCTACGCTGAAAATTTACAAAAAACACGTGGTTTTGTTTAGGACAAAGTCTCTGTGTCAGATTGGTGGTGAAAATCAGTTCCCCAAAGCACCTAAATTGGTGAATGATGTGGGTATAAAGCAGAGCTGAGGGGATTCTGGCCCTGCTGCTGGTGGTGGCTGGGTTGTGGCGTGAGGAGAAACACCAGAATCTGCTTCTTTTTCCCTCATTCCAGGCCGGGTTTGCTCCCCAGGCCTCGATATTTTATGGGATGGGTAATATTTGGCCTTTTAGCTGTGTTTTTGGGTCAGATTGAGCGGGGCTGTGACAGACCTTTAGGCCAAAGGATGGGCCAGGTTGTGCCCTCCGCCACGGCCCCTCTGCCCACAGCCGGCCAAAATTCGGGGCCAAAGGGCAGAAATCGGGGACCTGCACCCCAAAACCTCCGCGGAGACACCGGAGGGGGTCTCGCAGTCGGTGGTACTCACGCAAAACACTTTATCGGCCGTTTTTTACCTCAGAGAAACCCGCTCTCCACAAACCCCCTCAGCCGGGCGCCCACAGGGAGCTCTGAGGGGAACAGCGGGGGATGAGGGTGTGTGTGGGGAGCACCGAACCCCGTGTCCCCGTGTGGGGAAAAAAAACAACCCAGAGCCCCATTTCTTAATTACTATCGTTAGTGAAAATCAGATTTTTAAAGCGTTATTTCAGTATCTGCTGGGGTTTAAGAGGGGGTCTGGGCGCAGCAGCAGCGGCAGGTGCGCACAGGCAGCACAGCTGTGTTTGGGTACCTCGCTCGGGAGCAGAAATGTTGGCAAACATTAAAAAAACCCAGCGTTTAAATTTCAGGGCGTTTGTTGTCAGCAGGGCCGGGGGCGGCCGCAGACGCGTTGGAGGGCTGGAATCGCCACCACCAACAGCAGTGTGTCACTCCGGCGGTGTTTCCGCGGTGTTTTACTCCAGCGGCGTTTCGTCAGTATTATTATTAATAACTCCGCCCCGTTTTTATTCGAATTTAGGCGAATTTCGGGTCAGAACGACTTTCCCGCGCTTTCGCCCGCGGCGCGTTTCAGCGCGAGGGGGGAGGGGGCGGAGCCCGCGGGGTTTCCCGCCCTCGTTGTCTCCGCCCACCTTATGAATATTCAAATACAACCACGCCCCCTCCCGTAGCGGAAAGCGCGTCCCCTCGTCACCCGCCGCCGCGTGGTCACGCCCACCTAATGAATAATTAATGAGGCGCTGGGAGCGCGGCTTGGGGGGCGGCGGGATTTTGGGATGAGCTTTGGGATCCCTTCCAAAGCCTCCCGTGGTCCCGCGGCTCGGCCTGCGGAGCTGGTACAGCGCGAAGAAGCCGCGGCCTCTCGCGCATTTCGCCCCGCGGAGCGGTGTCGTTCCCTGTGGAATGGCGTCAACCCCCTTTGTGGGAGCTGCAAATCCCCAGCTCGCTACAGACCGGTTTTAAAAATAACTGTTTCTCGTTATAAATTCTGCCCCCCACCCCCGAAGGGGCTGGCTCCGAGTAACTATTTCTCTCGGGACTGTGACCGAACCTCCCGGGAGAGGTTTCCTCGCTGCTCCAAAGGCAGCTCCCATACGATGGCAGCAGAGGCCCGCAGCTGCTTTAAGGGAATTTTTGCCCAGTATTTTTATTTTTTTTCCCCCCCCAGAAGACACTTGTTTGTTTTGGTTTTGTTCCTGTTCTGATTTTTTTCTTTTTTTTTTTTATTTCTCTTTTTTTTCTCAGGAACTCCATCAAAAGAAGAACTTTCCTTGGCAAAACTGAAGCAGAAAAAAAAATCAAAAAAATCACCCTCATATGTAAGGATGTGGCATGGTCTGATTAATCAACAAGAGCTGGGTTGCCATGATGATGTAACCGTGACTGCAATATTTTGGCTGAAAAGGTAAATCAGGCAAATGTGCAAAAATCATGTGCTTTGGGGTTGAGCAGAATAAGCCAAGCAGAGCCTGCAGATGCCTTGTCCCTGTTTCTGTTTCCACCCAGGACAGCAGGACCTGGCTGGATATCTCTCCAAGAAATAGCATCCTGCCTCCCTGAATCCTTCCCAAACGCTGCTGGGTGGAATCAGGGATCATTCTGTTCACACACCCCCCCATCATTTTGCTGTTTGCACCTCTGTGTTCCACCACGAACGGAAAACAGATACTCTCAGACCAGAAATAACCAGAAACAACCAGATCCCACTGGGGGAAAAAAAAAATATATATATATATATAATTTGGGGGTGTATCTGGAGTATCCTGGGGCACCTTTTTGGAGCCTGAGAGCGGTTTAAGGACTTCCTGAGGCTGCATCCTGTGTTTAACAGGCAGAGCTGGACCTGCAGAAACACCGGAGTGATTGGGATAATTAATGGTAACGAGGGTGACACCGGGATTTAATTGAGTCGAGGTAAAAGTATCACCCTGTGTTTGCTTTCAGTTGGCTGAAGGAGTCACTGATGGGGTTTATTTTTTCATCTGGGGGCCCCTGTAATCCAGTCAGAGTTTGTAAAACCGGTCTGAGGTGACGGGATGAGGAGTAATAAGGGGAAAATTGAGTCGTCCCAAATTCCCGGTGTTTCTGCTGGAACGTTAACGGCTCGTTCCCTGCATGGAGCAGCCCGGGAGAGTGGAAGGAGTGGAGTGGGACTTGGATGAGTTTTAAGGTCTCTTCCAGCCCAAACCACCCTGTGATTCCGTGAAGAAAAGCACCAAATGTGCTGGGAGTCAAAAGAAAATGAGGGAAAAATTGCAGCACTAGGACCAAAGAACAGCACCTAGCATGGTATAAGCATGGGAAAATGGAAATAATAATGATAATAATAATAATAATAATAATAATAATAATCTGCAGAAGAAAGACATAATTCCTCGAGTTTTGTGTCCCTTCACCTGCTGTCTTAGGCAGTAAAATTTCTTATCTCTTTAAATCAAATTTCCCCCCGTTTGCCAAATGTTTCCTCTCTCTCAAGTGTTATTAAGGAGCCGAGCTGCAGCCTTTCATTTTTTTTTCCTCTTGAAAAAAAAGCAGTTTAAGGCTTGTTAGAAAATGATAAAAATATATGATTAATGGGACTGTTGACTCATCCAGCACAGGCTCTGCTGTGCCTGTGTGAGGATACACAGGGAATTAAGGCACTGTTTCCTCTCTTCCTGCCTAATGAATTCTCTGGATAAAAATCCTCCTTGGCTGGCATTTTTAAGGATTTCCGCCAGAGCAGGGCTGGTGGGTGGCAGAGGGATGAGAAGGGGCAGGGATGTGTGTATTCCCAGAATCCCAGCCCACCAGGGGTTTGATCCTCTGAGGAGCTGATGAGAATTTGACACAAAGTCCCCATCATTTTATTGGTGTTCTGCTCGTGGAACCGTGCAGGGACAGGGATGAGATGCAGCCGGAGGAATTTAAAAAAAAGTGGGGGAAAAGGGAAAAAAAAGGCAGAGTTTCCAGGTGGCCTCATTCCTCTCGGGATCATCGCTGGCTCTGTGGGGGCAGGAGTGGGTTTAATGTCGTTTTCTTGCCTCTCCCACCTCGTTTTGGACAGTGGTGGTGGCTGAGACAAACCAGCAGCGCTCTGTCCTTCCACCCTGCCCCGCTTCCAAGGGTTTTAAAAGGCTTGGAAGTGCATTAAAATACTTGGAAGTGCATTAAATCCCGGAGCTGAGGGAAGGTGCCCTGTGGAGGAGGCGGGAGGCTTCCCCAGAACGCTGAGGCAGGAGGAGCTGAGGGACTCCTCCAAGGTCGTTTGGAAGATTCCAGAGGCAGAATCCCGAGTCCCAGCTCTTGCCTCCTGCCTTCAGGGGACGCTCCTAAACGTTGGGATGGAGGGAATGCGAGAGTGAAAGAGGGAAGGCAGGGATGGGGTGGATGCAGAGGTGGAAGAAGGTGTGTCCTGGGTTTCTTGTTCATCCTTCATCCTTTACCTTCACACCAAACTTGCTCCTCTGCAGTTGCCAAATCCTTCCCGAGGATCTGGCCTGGGTATTTTCCCAGCCTGCTCCTCCCACCTAAATATCCCATATATTTTCCCTTATCTCCAGCTTTTCTCCATCTTCCCGTCCTGCAGAAAAACAAGAGACCAGCCCTCCCCCCCCCAAAAAAAAAAAAAAAGCAGCTGATTGCTGAGAATTCCTGAGCATCCAAAAAAGCAGCTGATTGCTGAGAATTCCTGAGCATCCTGTGAGCTCCCGTGGTCGCCGAGGGAGCCTGGAATTGGTGCTTTTCCCTTCTCCTGCTTTTTAAGATGCAACGTTCAGCCCCAAACAGATGGGAGCCTGTCAGCACAACACAGGGATAATCACCAGCGGGGCCGTGGGAAGCTTGGGAAGAGCTCGGAAGCTGCTCTGCTTTGTCATCTGAGCAGTTCTGGGGGGCTGAGAACCCCGGGGGGGGCCTGGTATCCCTTTGGAGAAACCCCAAGGAAAACCTTGGCTGCAAATCCCCTCCAAAGCCACTTGTCCTGTCCAGGGAGGGAGAATGATCCAGCCTGGAAGAGAGGCCTGGAAATCCCCTGGAAATGCGACAGCAAGGGATTCAATTAAATCTTAATTAACCTGATGATTGCTTCAGGCTTCTGGTTGGGAATCACAGGATCAGGGAACTGTTAAAGTTGGAAAAGACCTTTGTGATCGTCAGCTGAGCGCCACCGTGTCCCAAAGTGCCACATCCACGGGTTTTTTGGGCCCTTCCAGGGATGGGGGCTCCTCCCAACCCTTCCCAGGAAGGCAACCCCGTGTTCCCGACGCCGAATCTCATGGAATAGGCTGGTTTTTGAGGATCACACCCAAACTGGTGCATCTGTTAGAGCTGTCAGACCCCTCCAGGCATCCCAATCCCAGAGCCCCATTTTTTTTTTTTTTTTT